TCTCAGGGTCTCAGGGTTTTCGGGTTTAGGGTTTCAGATTCAGGGTTTAGGGTTTGAGATTTAGGGTTGAGGGTTTCAGGATTTAGGGTTTGGGCTTTAAGATGTAGGGCTAGGGTTTAAGATTTAGGGTTTAGGGTTTAGGGTTTCAGGGTTTCCTAGCGTAGAAAGCAAGTCTTGGGTTTAGGGTTTAGGGTTTAGGGGAGTAGTAAGTGGTAAGTAGACAGTACTGAGTAGCAGGTAGTAAGGGGGAAGTAGTAAGTAATGAGTGGTAGTAGTAGCAGTAGCAGCAGCAGTAGCAGTGGCAGTAGCAGTAGCAGTGTAGTAGGAGGAGCAGTAGGTCTCCGGATCTCCAAGGTGTAAGGTTTATGGTGTCGGGTACACCCTGAAGCCTGAACAGCAAGACAAGAGCGCTGCGCCTGAACCCCAAATCCAGAACCCTAGAGCGTTTGATTTGGTATATCACCAGTTCTCCAGAACTCCCTAAGGTTACCCCCCTCTGCCTTGATTCACCCCGTTTAAAAGTCCAATAACTTGAAATTTTGAGGTTGAGGGCTTAGGGTAGGGAGAGTTTTCGGGTTCACGATTCAGGTAGTCTGATCCATTGGATGCTCGAGCTTGTATGCAGCGAGACTGCGGTCTAGCCGCCTAGCCTGTGTTCGACTACAACTGCAGACTGACATAGACTGACTGTATCCAAATAAGGATCTGCAAATGTGCACGACATGGCAAGGAAGAGCCATAATTAGTAATAGTAGTAGTTGTGACTACAGTATTACACTTCAGGCATTTGCCGTGATTGTCCTACCATGAAAGCCACGGGCTATTGCTATAAGTCTTGTTCATCGTTGTAGCCAGTATTGTTCCAGCTGTTCTACCATTATCAGTGTTTTGGAAGTATAACATATCACCATCATCGTCGTCACGATCATTCTTTTTTTACAGTAGGGTTCCGGAAGACTAACGTCCCGAGCTTTCAGCCCCGGATTGCCGCGCCCAGAGTCGAGCTGCAGATTCTTTAATCGGCCCCTGAGAAGATACTTAGGGATCTATAGGGGTTCCTTGCAAAGGGATCTATAAGGGCTCCCTTTAACAAGAATTAGAAGGGTTCCTTTCAAGGAATCCATCGAAATCCTGAGCAGCTTGCCTCGTCTACCCTGCCTTGTGCCTGTGCCCTCGGCCTAGAGCTGTGCACAGCTTGTTCGGCCACTGGCTGGGATGGGTTTTTAAATCTAGGTCCCCCAGTAGTACCGTTTTGACCTTTGTATTTTGTGCGCTTTCCTTTTCAAAACTGAATGCTGTAGTTTCGAAAGGCCTTACACCCTGAACTCTTTAAAAACGTGCCTACGCGTGTTATTCCGAAACTGGGGAACCAGGAAATCGAACCCGGCACTCTCCGAAGACCAGAGATGCCGAGAACTCTTTGCCACAAGGGTAGGGGTCCCAATCCTGGCTGTACCTTGGCATAATTCTTGATCTGGGTTCTGGAGCACCTGAAAGGAATCATTATGAAATAAAAGTCTATACCTGCAAGGTCCAGTTATCGTTTGCAACTCGTTATTGGTCTAAGCTCCTTGTCCTGTGGAAGTGTAAGGTCCGATTCAGGGTCCAGTACTATAGCTTTGGCGTGCTCTGTTATCTAAGCCCTCAGGCCCGGAAGCCGTAAACTCAGGTCAAGTGCGTTTCCGGCTGGAATTTCTCCGCGTCCAAAATATTTAGGGCTTTAAGGTTTGGGTTGAGGGTTTGGAGTACCTTCCTCTGGCTTACCACCAGCAGTGCAGGAAGGTTTTGCTTTGATTTTAGGGCGGCCTTGGTTTCGTGGTCACATGGCTGTGCTCTCGCAATGTTTCTTTTAGTGCAAGGCACTTTCGAGGTTTTCTGGGTCGTTGCGTAAGGGTTTAGGGTTCGTGGTTAAGGGGCGTGCGATTAAGGTTGTTTATGGTTTGGGTCAGGTGGGGATTGGACGATTGATAGCATATGTCTGCCCTGAACCTTATAGACCCTAAACCCTAAACGGCTCCTCGCAGCCATTTTCAACTTCATGCTTCCTCTAGTATGGGGGTCTTGACTCTCTTTTAATAATGAAGGGGCCTTAATAACTGGAACAGGTTTCTGGGGGTTCCTCATTATTATTCTACTATAACAAACCCCCAAACCCTACTCTAATTATTACGGCCTCTATTTAACTAGCCAGAAAACGCCCCGCAGTGCTCATGTGACCATCCTACACTCCAAAGTCTGTTCTAATCATAAAGTCCCCTAGATGAAACCGTTGTAGAAGCCCTGTAAAGGAACCATCCTTTGGAAAGTCAAGATGAAGCCCCAAAACCTTAAGCGAAGGCAATAAAATACAGACAAAACACGCAGCTTTTGGGACTCGGGGGTTCTCGAGTGGTCATCAAACACCAGCGTGTGTATCGCAAAAAAGCATGGCACGCACCCGAGCTTGCGCATTCGGGGTTGAGGCTTCGGGTCAAGGGTTTTAGGGTTTCGGGTTTTAGGGTTTTAGGATTCAGGCTGTGGGGTTGTAGGTTTGGTGTATGATGTCGTTGCAGTCGATGACGAGCTGCACTTAAAAGTATCGAGTGTGGGGGTTTCAGGCTGGAGCTAGCAGCCCAACCACTCGGCTGCCAAAAAAACACATCCCAACTCGGAACTCGGATCTCGAGATCCTTCAACACGTAGTAATAGGCTTTGAGCTCCGACCCTTCTGGAGGCTCCGCATAAGAAGCCTGCTTGCACAGCTTACGCTCTGCACCGAGGGGTACTATCAGAGTTGCGAAACCCTAAAACAACCTTCCCTGAGCCCTAATAAGGATGCAGGTATGCCGAGGCTTTTAGAGTTTGCAGTCATTTTGCTTTGTGGTTGCGGTCACTCTGAGTCAAGATGCCGTCGTTTAGCCCGGGGCTTGGCAACGTCCCCATTCTACGCCCAAGCAACCGAACACCTGAAGCTCTGAAGCACTCAACCACAAACCCTAAACCCTGAACCGTGTACGGCCAAGACCCTAAAACAACACCTGTAACTTCAATCCTGAAAGGTTCAAGAAGGGTCCAGGGCGTAGAGTTCACGGTTTTGGGCTTAGGGTTCAAGGATTCAAGGTTAGAGGCTAGAGCGTTAGCCTCAACCCCCCCAAAACCACCTAAACCCAAAACCCATTCCAAACCTGAACTTTCGACAGCAAGTCCGGAGTCTTAAGCCCTCAGACCCATGTGGGTTTAGTGTTTGAGGTTGTTAGGTTAAGGGTTTGGGATTGGGGTTGCAGAGTTCAGGGTGTAGTGTTTAAGGATTCAGGGTTCTGGGTTTGGGGTTCAGCGACTGACAGCCCAGCATACTTTGCCATACCTGAACCCTTAACTCTAACAAGCACCTCATGTGTACCTGATATGAACCCAGCACAAGCCTACACCGGCCGTATAACCCCACACAACCCGAAACCCAACGTACCCCACCCTCCCCCATATACGCCCAGCAGAAACAGTGAACAATCTCGCGGGCCCTGCCCTGAACCCTAAACCCCCTGCACAGTCACTGGGCATCGAACCCAACACATTAAATCAGCCCTAAACCCTGAACCCCCCCAAACCACTCACTAGGCCCCAAACCCTATACCCTACGCCCTAAACCCGAAGCCTTCAACCCGACGCCCTAAACTCTAGACCCTAAAACCCGACACCCAAAACCCTGAACCCTCAACCCTGCGCCTAAAACCCTCCACCCTACACCCCAAACCCTAGACATATCCCCCAAAACCTTGCACCCAAACTCTGCTCCCTCAACCGTCCACTGTCACTGCGCCGGCTTCCTCAAGGGGTGTTTCAGCTCCCGGCCTTCCGAGAACCGGCCGAGCTCCATCGAGTTAATGAAGCCGGGAGCCGGGGTTTAAAGGATTTGGGGTTCAGGGCTTGGAGCCCGGAAATTTTAGTGTTTTAGGGGGATTTGGGTTTTAGGGTTTGGAGCTGCCCCATTCGGGGTTTTAGGGAGGGTTTGGGTCTTAGGGTTTGGAGCCGCGCCATTCGGTGTTTTCGGGTTTAAAGGATTTGGGGGTGTAGGGTTACGAGCCGGGAATTTCCGGGCTTTCTAGGGTTTAAGGAATTTTGGGTTTAGGGCCTAGGGTTTAGGGTTTCGTGTTTGGGGTCGAGGGCTTGGGGTTTAGGGTTTCGGGTTTGAAGGATTTGGGGGTTTAGGGCCTAGAGTTTAAAGGATTTGGGGTTTAGGGGTTCGGGTTTAAAGGATGTGGGGTCTAAAGGATTTAGGGTTTAGGGTTTGGGGTTTAGGGTCGAGGATTGGTTCAGGGTTTAAGGAGAGGGTGAGGGTTTGGTTTGATATAGGGGCTGAAGTAATTCGTAACATTATTCCTTGGGGTTCCTTTATTGTGAGTATACTATCTTCTATTCCAAAACACTGTTCTACTTATCAAGGTTCCTATGTTGGGGTTCATGGCGGTGAGGGTTTAGGGCTAAGGGGTTTAGGATTTCGGGCTTGAGGCTCGGTTTACGACGTTTGCAAGTTTAGAGTTTAGGGCCTGCGGGTGTAGAGTGCAGGCAATCCCTGCAACCAAACCCTCAACATCCATCCAGCAAACTTCGTGAGCTGCCGCTTACTGTAATGCTGTATTCCCTAAACCCTGAACCCTAAACCCTAACGATCCTAATCATTGTCTGATCTCCTGTGTGGCTAGCCATCCTGAACAGTCTTCCAAGCCCTGAATGAAAGCTTGGTTGAGGAACCCAAATATTTTAAGTTCAGACCGGAAACCCTGAAACCCCAAACTCCAAACTTCAAGCCCTTAGCATGACCCAACGCCCAAAATCCAACACTCTGAGCCCCAACTTCAAATCCCGACCTTAAATCTTAAATGGCCATAAAAGGGACCTGAAGGGGACATTATCAGCAATGATTCCAACCTCTATAGGATGTGCATGAGGTTTGTGTGACGTTTCTCTCGGGGGCCCCTGGGGCCCTAAACCCGAAACCCTCATGCAGGTAGCCCTGCCAAACAATGGTGTGGCTGAGCCTCCTCACGAACTTTGTGGTGCCCGCTCAGCTGATACTGAGTGTTTGGGGTTTTCGTGTAAGGTTCGTCGATTTTTTCGATTGCTGTGCTTCTTACTGTTGTTGCTCCTCTGGTTCATCTTCTTCTGCTTCACTGATTTCAGTAGTCTTCTGTCCAGTTGCGAGCTATGGGCTTCCAATCATGCTGAATGGGACGGCTATTTACATGATGGCATCAGCACTCGAACCCAGGATTTTTTGACGTAGGCATGTTTCAGTCTCGTGTCAACAGAGGATGTCTGCCTCGAGCGCTACACCCGAAACCCTGAACCCCTGAACCCAATCCCCAAAGCCAAACCCGAAACCTAGCACCTTTACGCAGTAAACCCGAAACTCACCACAGCAAACGCCCACAGGGTTTAGGGTTTAGAGCAATTCGAGGGTGCATGTAGATGGTCTACAAAGGCCTTATACCGGTTCCAAAGGGATGTTTGGGTTTTATATGCTTGGGCCTGCACAGCCCCCTGCGAGTGAACTCTGCATCCCTCAACAAAAAGCTCTGAGACCGCAAACCTCAATGCCTAAACATACCTGTGTGCAACACACAACGCTGGAAACCTCCCGTACACACTAAATCCTAAGCTTTAGAGTTTAAGTTTGGGGGGCCCCAAACCCTAAGCCCTAAACCCCAAGCCCACATCAGGGCGCTTTTTTCAGGTACTCTTTCCTGCCTCCGCGTGGTCTTCCGGCTGGTCCTGGAGTGCCTTGCAGGCTGCGGCCCTGTAGGGTTCCTTTAAAGGTTTTTTGAAGGGTTCATTTGAGGGTTCCTCAAAAAGGTCCCCAAAAGGTTCCTCAAAAGGTTTCTTAAAGGGTTTCATAACAGGTTCCTTAAAGGCAGCTAGGGAGCAGCCAGGGTTGATCCAGGCTTAGGCCCCACATTGCAGCGGGTCTGGGGGTTTAGTATTTTTCAGTGTCGTTGTTGGCATTACGATTGCTTTGGATTTTGTGAATGTCTAATTTCGGCACTCTAAGCCGCAGGCGCGAACATCGAACACGTTCGCAGAACCCAAGCACATTGACCTTGATTCACACCATCCTGAACAGGAAACTGAAAGGCCGCATCGCGATGAAGCACTGTATGTGAGCATCATTACTTCAAATTGTCATCGTAAGGAGATAATAGAGAGGCCTCAATAATTACCTATACTATTCTGGGGTTCCTTGTTTTAGTTATTGTATAGTGGGCCCCAAAACCCTGTTCTAATTATTAAGGCCCCTACATTGTCATCGATATTCGGTTGCCTTCTTATTGCAACGGCTAGCAATCATGCAGCCAAGCCTTCCGAATTGCGCCCAGCACAGGTGACAGCTGCTCCCACCGCACGGCAAGGCCATGCTGCGGTCGAGGTGGGGTTGTTACTCTAGGGGTCGGACTGCTTGCTCGATTTGGTAATGCTGTACGGTTCCTGGTGCCCCCCAACCTTATCCTGATCACTGATCATATTAGATCTTTGCGAGAGCGCCTGGGCGTTTGGTGCAGGTGCAGGGACGGGGGGGAATTTCATTCGACTCGAATGAGACTTCGGGAAGCCCTGAACCGCCCTAAACCCCACTGGTGCTTGCGATAAGGCTTGTTAAATGGTTACATGTTTCAGGTGCTCTTTGGTCGGAGGCTTCGTGCTGCTTTTTGAGGGCTATCAGGGCTCGTGAATTGACCCATCGGCCAAAAAGTACACCAGGGTTTTCGGGTGTATATACATATATATATTTATGTATATATATATAAACACAGTACATATTACTAGTACAAGTAATACTTTTTTTTGTATTATACCATGTACAAGTATGATGAGAAGCCCAAGAAATAGTATTGCTAATCATTCAGGCTTGTTTGCTGTAGTGTCCCTGCTGTGCGCAAGCATATGCTAGTTACGTCGCAAATCCGGCCTGTCAATCGTCGGCAAATTAATACTGTTTCAGTATTATGCCATGTACAAGTACAATAAGAAGCCCAAGAAATAGCATTGCTAATTTTTCAGGCTTGTTTGCTCACTGTGCCAGCGGTACGCACAGCCGGTCCTGTCCCTGCTGTGCGCAAGCATATGCTAGTTACGTAGCAAATTCCGGCCTGTGAATCGTCGGCCTGATTCGAGATTCAGAAACTCCAGTAATTATCCCTTAATGGAATACAGCTTAAATTATAGTAGGATCCCAAATATGATTTCAGGTAAATTTCGAGATACAGCTCAAACTATAGTCGGATCCCTAATATGATTTTCGGTATATTTTGTTAATCAGGGGATATTGTAGTCTCTGGGGACCTCTCAGCTGCATACCGAGTCGTGGGCGAAACTGTGAGGGATGACTAGCCTTGCTCACACGCTCGCGAGGGGAGGGGCCTGTTCCGGATATTTCTGTAGCAGTTGCTTAGGTCTTAGGATCTCTGCTAGGCTTTCTGTTTCTTGGTTCCTCCCCTGGAAATGCATATCCACGAGAGAGAGGGAGAGAGAGGGAGAGAGAGAGAGAGTCAAGAGCTAGTCCTAATCACGTATGTCTGCTCTCTCTTTCTCTAAGCTCTAAAGCCAGAAACCCGAAGACCTCGAAGGCCTAAAGCTCCGAAGCTGCCAACCCGTCGAAGGCAGCGATCAAGCCCCATAAAGCGGCCTGAATCCGAGACCTTCAACCCTACACCCTGACCCTAAAACCCGTAAAGCCTAAACCAAAAGACCCGCAACCCTAAAGCCTAAGCCGAAGACCTTGAACTTGTCGTCCAGAATTCGTGAGCTGCCCTCAGCTGACAGAAGGTCGGCCGCAAGATCTACGTGATCGGTGGATGCTTGCAGGCGATCAAACCGTACAAACCCTAAACCCTAAGCCATAAACCTTAGACCCTATACCCTGAAGCCGCCGCCTATTGCAAAAGCCGTCTTGCCGAACTCCGAAGTCTCGAACTCTTGAGCACACGTACCCCGGGACTGGGAAACTCCATGTGTTGGGTTTTCGGGGTATAGGATTAGGGTGGCTGGTAGAATCAGTGGCTCCTGGTCTTCATCAGAGGCAGCGTGGTCATCGTCGTCAGCATCATCATAGCAGTAGCATGTAATAGTACAATTGGGCTGGTGGCTGTAGTGGTCAAGCAGTTAGTTTTATTGTCATGGCCTGCCTTGTTGCGTTGTGAGCATGACGTCTTTTATGGGTAGCATGAGTATTGTGATGGTTTGATGCTGGAGGGGTATAGTTGTGGCAGTCGTGGCACGATCACGATTATCGGATTGGAGTATGGTGCAGGCGCTGAGAGAGTGTAACAACGGCTGACGTCATGAGGCTTTGTAATTGCAAGCATGGTTAGCAGTGTCCGTGTTCATGTGGTAGTCCTAGTCTTTGTGTTTGTTGCTAGTATGGTCATCGTTCGACTTGTTGATATGAGCATTCCACGTTGAAGGGTGTTTAGGGTTTGAGGTTTTGGGCCTTAGAGTGCATCAGTGCCGTTTTCTATTCGGAGCTTTGTTGTCCATCGTTGTTACGATTACGCCGACGAGAACCATCCTTACACCCTAAACCGTAAACCCTGAGCCCTAAAACCCTAAACACCCTTTCAAAACCCAAACCCTAAACCCTGAACCCTAAAACCCGGAAGCCCTTTAAACCCCAAGCCCCAAACCCTCTACCCTAAAGCCGCTCCGGTGCCGGCCCAGCAGCTGACTTGAAAGGGTTGTTGAGCTGAAGTCCTTGCGTGGGTGGCTCTCTAAATTCGGGTCCCTCTCAGGGTCCTTTTTATAAGCGTGCCGGGTGCCGTAATATAGCGGCCTTATAACAATTAGAATAGGGTTTTGGGGGTTCTTTTGGGAGCAAGAAAAGGGGCACCCCATGTTCAGCGCAACGCCAAGATGAAGGGTTTAGGGTCTCGGGGTCTTGGGTTTTGGGTTAGGAGTTAGGGTTTCGGGTTTAGGGGTCTAGGGTTTAGGGGTTGGGAGTTAGGGTTTAGAGTTTCGGGGTCTAGGGTTTAGGGGGTAGGAGTTAGGGTTTAGGGTTTAGGGGTCTGGGGTTTAGGGGTTAGGAGTTAGGGTGTCTTCTTGCGCAGTGGCTGCAATCCATGCTATGATGGCGACAGCTCACACCAGGGTTGGCTTCCGGCATCTTCAGTGACTGAGCATCCAGTTATGGGTGGGCACGGTTGAGGAATTTAAGGGTTTAGGTTGTCGGGTTTAGGTTTAGGGATTTAGGGTTTAGGGGTCTCGGGTTTAGGGGTTAGGAGTTAGGGTTTGGGTTTTATGGTTTTCAGGTTTAGGGGCCGCTCGCACTTGTGCGTAGCAGACAGCCCATCCCAAGATCCCCCTGAGTTCAAGCATTTTAGGGTGTAGTTCCAAAGTTTTTTGGGGGATTGTGCTTTCCGTAAGGCTGTGCTTGCGGGTTCTCATGCACGCTTTCCGTAAGGTTGTTTTGGCGGGTGCCGAAGCAGCACTGCATGTGGGCTGTGAGTCTGTCCCTTTCTGGATTGGGCTGCCTGCTGCCGGGTTCTCATGTAGGCTTTCTGTAAGGCTGTCCTGGCTGTCGCCAGAAGAAGCAGTGGGCTTTCTGTATGAGGCTGTGCAGGAGGGGTTGGGTGCAACCCTTGTCGAAAGGATCCGCCGGCAAAAATCCCGGGTTTAGGGTATATCCTTGAGGCGGTTGAGGGGCCGGCATGCATGGTGCCACGTTTTCTGCCGCTCGCGAAGCTCGGGCCGCTTCGGGGTCGAGCCCTCAGCGAAGCCTTTAGGGGGTTTAGGGTTTGGGGGTTTAGGGTTTGAGGGTTTAGGGGTTTAGGATCCAGAGGTTGAGGATGAGGGTTTAGGGGTTAGGGTTTAGGGTTTAAGGGGTCTTCGGGGTTTAGGGGTTTCGGTCTTCGCTGCCAGAGAGGATGCAGAGAAGCAGGCCAGTTCAGGCAGAACCCGGAGCGGGCTCTGACCTCCGAGCCGTTGTCGACCTGAGACATTCAATTCGGAGATGAAACGGTTTAGGGTTTAGGGCGTCCGGCGATCTCGGAATATGGGTACCCCCCCTGTCCCGAAAGTGTCAGTCACGAGACCCCCAGTAGTGAGCTGTTATCTTCCGGTTCCGGGTTTGGAGTGCCAGATGCACCAACCCCAGGAGCCCGCACCCCCAAATCCTAAGGTCAAGGTCTAGGGTACTCGGCCCTGCTAGGAGATACGCTGCTACAACGATGTTCACATCTTCGATACAGGCCGGTGAACACCTTTGGCTGCGGGTGGCACGATCTGAAACCACACATAAGCCCTAAACCCTACGTGCTGGACCCAGGGCTCTGCCTTACCGCCCTTCACTTTCAAACTTAAACCTTGCTTTTCATATAGGTTCCGATTATGTAGTGACAATGTTCCCTTATAGTCCTTTGGTTTTTATGGTCCGGCATACTCCCAAACTCCATTCTCATGATTTGATGCCCCTCATTTGCAACCCATCCTCGTGATGCTCATGTCCAAATTTACCCAACATGCACGTTCAAGAGTTGATATCGGGGGTTTGGGGTTTATCATAAGATGAAAGAGCATATGTATGGCCCCTGGGGGATGTGATGACGAAGGATTCAGACCTTTAGCCAAAAGGCCCTAAACCTTCAGCCTTAAACCCTAAACCCTAAACCGTTAACAGCCTCAAGCAACCGCCATCCAGATGAAAACCCGAATCCTCCATACAAACCTCCGTATACAAGGATCTTCATCTTCAGGCGTGAGTGCTAAACCTTAAACCGTAAACCACCGAAAACAACCCTAAACCCAACCCCAAAACTTTGATTCTTCCTGCTTAACCTCTTAAACCTCGGCGAGACTTTTAACTTTGGGCTCTTCAGCCACCTCAACCCTGCACCCCAAACCTTGGTCTTTAAAGCCCAAGCAAATCCGTAGTGGTTAGAGTCTATACCTTTAAGCTCTAACCCCATTGTGCCTCCAGGCGCGCAGAGATGGACGCAGGACAGGCCGTCCGAGGTTTTTGTTCCTGAGTCCGGTTTCGGAGGGGGAGGCCGAGGGAGCGGGGGGGAGGGGGGAGGGGTTGCGCCAAAGTTGTTGTTTTGCCATGTGTTGCGGGGTTAGGGACAGTTTTGCGGGGTTTTGAAGGGGCGTTTGTGGCGCCTTCAAGTGGGCACACAAAGAGGTTGTGTGCGCTGAAGCCCAACATCGTTTCACAACCAATGCAGCGGGATGCAACTGTAATCTAAACGCCATGACCCCCGTCAACTCCTCTACTAACGCCTTCTTTGGAGCCTTTTGTCCCAGACATTCTGTAAAACAACTCAGATATCCAAAGAACCCCTGTAGCAACCGAAACCCCCGTTAGCACAAGACTCTGAACTCTGAACCCTTTTAAGAACAACCTGGGCTTTGCAGACGGAAATGGAGCTGCTATAAAGGCCACAGCTCTACAGAATCCTTGAATGAACCCTGAACCGGAACATTGAATTCTATAGAATACAGAGAATCCTGTTGGAGTCGAGGAGAACGTGACGGGTGACCTCCCATCCCCACGCGGCGGCCACACGGCAACCCTTGCCCGGGCCTCGATAAGACCGCCGATGACACCACCGAGTTCACCGGCGCCGATACAGAGCGGTACCTCATCGATTATGCCGCCAACTACTACCACCACCACGCCAATCGATTCGACAACTTCGTTGCGGAAGCGAATGATATCCGGGGTTTCCGAAAATAGGGGACCCTAATATAGTACCCTAAATAGTAGGATCCTCATTATAAGGACCCCCAAACTAGGTATCCCCAATTTTCGGGAACTACCATCCGAGCCAACCGGTTCCATCGACCAGAACGTTGATTTCAGCTGAGAGTGCCGCATCCGATCGGGTTCACATCCAACCCTAAACCCTAAACCCTAAGCATCTAAACTCTAAACCCGAAACCCTAAACATCTAAACCCTAAACCCTCAACCCTCAACCCTAAACATCTAAACCCTAAGCCCTAAACGAACCTGGATCCTCGAAAGCCAGACGCTCCTCGACGCAGCATGCCCACCGCAGCTCCTGCGATAGTCACTCTCCCACCAACGAGTGAAGAATCCAGTGGTGGAGACTGCACGGATGATAGTAAGAATGCAAGGTCTTCGTCTGCTCCTATCGATGCTTTGGTAAGAAACTCAAGACTGAAGGGTTTAGGGTTTAGGCTTTGAGGTTCCAGGCTCTGCGGTTCTGAGGTTTTAGGGTCCAGGGTTTGGGGTTCTAGGGTATGAGGTTCAAGGATTTTAGGGTTTTGGGGCTTATTTAGGGTTCCAGGTTTCAGGGTTGTAAGGTTTTTGGTTTCGTTTTGGTTTCTGCGTTCTAGGGTATTTGGGTTCTGGGGTGGTTAGGGTTCTTCAGTTTTTGGGTGGCAGGGTTCAGGGTTCTAGGGCTTTGGGTTTCGAAGGTTTAGGGTTCTGAGGGTTCTGGGCTTTGGGGTTTAGGGTTCTAGGCCTTGGGATTCTGGGGTTTAGGGTTAAGGGTGTTTTAGGGTTTCAGGGCTCAATGTTCTCGGGTTTCGGGTTCAGATTTTTCAGAGTTGGTTAGGGTACTCCAAAACCCCTCAAATCTTGTGTGGGTGTTCCGTAGGAGCCATGCTTCAGTGAATCCTCATCTCTCTAAGCCTTAACCCTCAATCCCTGAATCCAAAATCCTGCACGCTAATCCGCAAACCCGAACGTTCATTCCAAAACCCCAAACCCAAAACCCTTAACCCTAAGCCCCAACCTTGATTCCAAAATCCAAAACCCAAAGCCCCAAAACCCTAAACCCTGACTTTGATTCCCAAACCCTAAACCCTAAACCCTAACCTTGATTCCGAAACCCAAAACCTTAAACCCTAACCACGATTCCTGAACCCAATCTTTAAACTCCCAAGGCATATCTCCAACCTCGAAAAGCCAATCCCCGAGCCGAGCCGGTCCTGCATCAAAGCCGTACTTGTAGGGTTTAGGGTTTAACAACCATTGAAGGGGCTTGGGATTTAGGGTTCAGGGGTTTAGGGTGTAGGCGCTTAGGGGTTTAGGAGTTTAGGGTTTAGGGCGAATCCACATGTCAACACAAAGATTTCGCTACGTCCAAATTTTTGTCAGCACCGGTGTGAATAGCTCATCCCTTAGTGTAGTTTCGGGGGTCAGGACATATGGGCTTGGGACTCGGGATTCTGTTTTGGTATTGGCCTTCTCCGAAACCCTGTGCCCCATAGCAGCGAAGCGCAAAGGTCGGCAGCGACATCTTCCTGCTAGGAGGGGCCAACAGCGAGGCTTGTTTGCAGTTCTTCTGGTGTGGCCACTAGCTTAGGGAAGTTTGATCTTGTTGCTACTTGTGATAAGAAGCATCGTTGCTCTAGTTCGGTACCGAAGCTTCCGCCTGCTGCTCTTGGTACTGCCGCTGTTGCTGTTGCTGCTGCTTCTATACTACGACGACCACTACTACAAGTACTTCGACTACTACCGCTACGACGTCGACTGCGACTCCGACTACGACTGCGACTACGACGAGGACGTCCAGCAGCACCCCCCACGACTACTGCAATCTACTGCAACGACTAGCTGCTAGCCCACTAGCACTACAACTCACAATGCTGCTGCTTCCTGAGCCCGGAAACAAACCCCACGCACCCTCAGTATCTCGTTCCCCAAAGCCTACGCTTCAACTGTGTGGGGTATTTTCGTCGTGGCCCTAAAGCATAGACTTACATGGGGGGCTTAGAGGTTTGGAGGCATCTGTGCAGGCCGCTTCTCCTTCTTGTCATGGTTGTTCGCCATCGTTGTGCCGGAGTCGGTTGGTGGGTGGTGGTGCTGCACCTGACTCTTCTGGTGCTGCTGCCACCAAGGATGATGATTGATGTTGACGATGATGCTGATTTATGATGATGCTGAGGAGGAGGGGATGATGAGGCGGAGGACGAGGAGGTTGGCAGCGCCACAGATCACGATGATGGCGACAATGATGCTGTTGATGATGATAGTGATGGCGACGATGGGCGAATATGGTGCTAGTGATAATGATAGTAATCAGGATCATCATCAGGATGTTGGCGACAAACACATGATGAGGACGATTGTGCTGATGACGAAGGTGTTCACGCTGATGGAAACGACGATGATGCAAAGGAGCGGTGATGGTCCTGGTGGCGATGTTGTTGTGGACGGTGTTGCTGTTCTCTCTTCTGCTGCTGTTGCTGCTGGTGATGGGTGGTGATGATGATGAGGCGCAGGATGTTGCTGACATTGTTGTCAATGGATAGTGGGCAGACCTCTGGCAGTTGGCGTCAACGAGTTTTCTGAATTGTATACTTTCGGACCTCACGGTGGGATAGGCCGCAGGGTGGCCTCACTTAAGCGCGGTTTAATCACGTAAGCATAAGCTTCAAAGCAGAATCTCCCCAAGAGGGTCCAATGCTCAAGACCACTGAAGATCTGAGTACGTCGTCTCTTCTCAGGGTTCTTCATGAATTTGGGTTGATGCGTGTCTGTGTTGGTTGGTGGGTCCCCTACGATATAGGCTTGGATATTTAGCTATTCTCCTGCTTAGGGTTCCTACTCATATAGTTGCAGTATAACTGTATAACATATCCCCGGAAAGTCTTCTTCTACTTGTTCAGGCCCCTGTATTCAAGTGCCCTAAGCTCCCACAAACCCTAAACCAGGCTCTGCGAGTTTCAGACCATCGGGGACCTCATCCCGAAGCCGACATAGTGGGGTCCCTGTTGTCACGTGACAAGTATCCTTCTTTTAAGGCTCTGAACTAGGGTCCCAATTAGATAGGGATGCCATGATTTTGGAGTGTATACGAGAGTCCCTATTTGCAATGATGATAGTCAGCCGGCCGCCGCTGCCCTAAACCCCCTAAACCCGAAGCCCTGTACCCTGAACCCTGTCTAAACCGTAGGCCCTAAACCCTAAACCCTTAAAGCCCTAAACCCGAAATTGTAAAAGCCCTAAACTCTAAGCAAAACCAAAAAAACCCTTAAACGCCCTAAACCCTAAGCCCAGTAACCCCTTAAAAGCCCCAACCCCTTAAAAGTCTTTAAACCCTAAAACCTATATATGTATATATATATATATATATATATACCACCCTAAAAGGACCCTAAAAGGCCAACAAATCTCAAACCCGAAAGCCCTAAACCCTTTTGAAGCCCCAAACCCAAAACCATTTTCTTACAGCCCTAGGCCCTAAACCCTAAAAGCCTTGCAATCCTTGAGCCCTAAAACCCTAAACCCCTTAAAAGCTCCAAACCCCTTGAAAAATCCTTAACCCTAAACCCTATATACAAATCCTTAACCCTAAACCCTATATACCGGGTTGCAGGCTGATGGAATCATGCTCGGATGTGCTGAGGTGCTGTACTTTTGCTGGGATGTGAGCTTGAAGCCCGTAAGTGGCGGACTAGCCTTCCCCCACGGGATTTCCGACACGCGGATTGCAAGTTGGAAAAGAGGCGCTTAAAAAAAAAAAAAAACCCTATATACCCACCAAAAAACCCTGAAAGCCCCAACGCCTAAACCCTAAAAGCCTTAAACCCCTTGAAGCCCCAAACCCTAAACCCTTTATTAACAGCCCTCAACTCTAAACCCTAGCCCCTTCAAAGCCCAAACCCTTTATATAACCCCTTCCAGGCCCTAAGCCCCAAACCTTGCAAGCGCCTCTTTCAGGCGACCTTCGCGGACGCCTACCGGCTCGACCTCCTTAGGCGCCGTTGGACGAAACTGGAAGAAGGCCTGCTTTCGGGGGTTTCGCGGGGGGTTTAGGGCTTTTGCGGAGTTTAGGGTTTGCGGCATTTAGGGTTTGGCAAATGGGGCTGAACCTCATTCCCAAGCCCCAAGCCCAGAGTCGCGGAACTAAGCACGAGTCCCCATTCGCAAGAGGTTTGGCGTACTAGGGGTGCTGTTAAAAAGAGATAAGAATGTTCAGTCGAAAGGAAGTGCCATATACACCAAGACTCCACTCTGGTCTTTATGGCCCTATCGTATCCAACGCGAGCGTTGGGGGGGGAGCTAAGCTCCCGAGATCCGAGATCTGTCCTCTAGGAGCCTAAATAGTTACCAATACTATTGTGGGGGTTCCTTGCTATAACTATAGTATAATGGGCCCTCAAACCCTATTGTGATTATTCAGCCCTCTACATTAGCAGCAGAGAATTGGATTTGACAAAGGGGCATTAAGCATTTTAATCCTACACGCCCTACCGCCTCAGTGCATGAACCTGAAACCCGAAACCCAAATACACAAGCCGAAAAGACTCGTAGTACTACTTACCCAGAATCCCATCAGAGAAACCTTTAGAGAAACCCTTTAAGACCCTGAACCCTAAACCCTAAACCCTAGAACCCGAGTCAAGCATCGTGGCTCTTGTAGTCCCCGTGTCAGGCGCCGGGCTCAGCATGACTGCCCGTACCAGCCACGCGGCAACTGCCGATGGAGGCCAGTTTAGGGTTTAGGGTTTGGGGTTTGGGGTTCTGGGTGCCCGGGTTTTTGGGGTTGCAGAGTTTAGAGTTTAGGGTTTTTTGGGCTCCACGCGGTTTGGGTTTAGGGTTCAGCGGGGGGTTTAATTAGGGGTTCAGGGCTCAGGGTATGGGCTTGTCGGGCTTTGGCGCTTCTGGTTTGCACGTTTTGCGAAGTATGTGAAGGCTGCAGGATTTCCGATGGTGGTTCCGCCTCATCCTTCAGTACCCCGGACCCCTAAACCCTAAAGCCCTAAACCCTAAATCGCCCGCGCCCACCTAGCAGGACGGATCTACGTCTTCGGCGGGTATGATGCAGAGGGGAAGTTCTTGAATGCATCCTGGCCAACGAGCAGGGTTTAGGGTGCTGGGCTTTTAAAACTCGGCCATAAGTCCATAAGGGTACTGGGAATGTTCGTAGAGCGATTCTACAAGAGGGGTTTTCGTTTTTTGTTGTTTCGGGGGCTTTAGGGGGCTCAGGGTTTTAGAGGTTTTTAGAGTTTCAGGGCTTTCGGACATTTTCGAGTGTAGGGTCCGCAGTTTAAAGTCTGCGCTGTCGGGCTTAAGGCGAAGAGGGTGGATGGTTGCTTCTTTTTTGTTCTGGGTTGGTTCTTCCCAATCGCAAGCATCCCACAATCGCGGTGTGAAGCGCTCCCACCGCCCTCCGGACAGTGCCAGCCGAACCCGCAGTCAGACACACGTCGTTCGGAACGAAGATCTGGCAGAATCTGGCAGCCAACATGTGGCAGTTTCCGAAAATTAGTGGTATCTTATTTTGGGGTCCTTGTAACAAGGATCCTGCTATTTAGGGTGCTATGTTAGGGACTGTTAGGGTCCCCTATTTTCGGAGACTACCATGTGGGGCCCAAAAGAATCACAATGGGGCTCTGAGGGTATTTGCTACCTAGGGACAGATTATTTTGACAAACCCCAGGTGCAGTACTATTCCTATCTGCTAAAAATGATACCACTATTGCCACTATATGCACTATTACCTCTATTCATACCAATGTTACCACTACTTATACTTCCATAATTAGCTTACTATTACTCTTTGCCGCCCAGGACATGTGGGTGCTGCGCGCGCCAGGATCCCAGACAGCTTTTGTTCAGTTCCCAGCAAAGCTGCGACCCGCGGCTGGACAGATTGGGAACCCCAAGCCATGAGTTAACCCCAAGCTCAAATAAGCTCTATAAACCTTACCTAACCACCAAGCCCCGAAAGTGAACGACTACAAACTCCTAAAGGTAGAGGGGCTTTGGATTACTGTTAAGTCCGAGTAAGGGTTGTCGGGAAGCAGAAACGGGGCTAAGGAGTAAGGAATAATGGGTTGAGGGTTCAAGGGTCTTTATATGCGCTTTAGTAAATTAGGATTAAGCGGTTGGCTTTGCAGTTGTTTATCAGCGGTTTCAAGAACAGACCTCAACCCTGTCGACCAAGCCTTAAAAACCCTAAGCCCAGAAGAGGTCCCTGAACCCTACTTGGAGGGTCGGGGGACTTAGTAACTGGTTATTTTCGGGACTTCTAAGTACCATAACCCCAATTAGGGTCCCTTTTAGGGTACTTTTTCGTCTACTTACTACCTGCTTACTAAGTCCCCCGACCCTCCAAGTAAACCCAAATGGACCTGAACCTTTCGCGTGGCTTCGGATCCCAGCCAGCTCCCCTCCCCTCGCCTTTCCGAGGCCGCTGTCTCCGCCCTACAGCCCGGACCGCGCTTTCTTCACTTGCCTGGGCTTCGTAGGTTAGTTATATACATATACACACATACACACACACACACACATATATATATATATATATATATACATATATATATATATATATACACATTTCACATGCAATATATATATATATATATATATATATATATACACAAACACACATTTGAAGGACAAATGAAAATTTGGATATGTATGTATGCATGTATGTATGTATGTATGTATGTATGTATATATATATATATGCATATATGTGTTTCATGTATGCATGTATATATATATATATAGGTGTGTAATTGTGCATTTGTGCATATATGCATTTATGTATATAGGTATATATGTACATGTGTACATGTGTATATGCACATTACACACACACACACACACCTACATGTGCAAACACAAGATCTATGGTGCACTTATGGGTTTGATCAACTTTAGCGGGTTTTCAGCCTCTAAGGCTGGCTGAGGGCCTATTTTTGTTTTATGTTTTTGATGTTTAAGGTGTCTGCAGTTGACGGGTCGTAGACACAGGGTTTGAGTGGTGCAGGGATCAAGGTTCCTGGTTTGGGGACCTGCCTACTCAATAAGAAGTCAAGAAAAGGTGGTACTTACTTGCAAACCCCGCGCAACGAGAACATCGCAGACGAAAAGTCTATGCCCTTTGATTTCAATATCTCCGTTTTTGAACCTCAAACCGCTAGCCCTGCATTTCTTCATATCCGTATACAAGACATACAGGTGCCCCCACAAAAAACCTTTGCAGCCTACATCCTCGACCATAAGCCCTCAAATCACGACCCCAAACCCTGAAACTCCAAAGCTCCAAATCCAAAAGCCCAAACCACCCACCACCGCCACCAGGACGACGACTACTACGACGACTAGTACTGTTAAGTCATGTACAGACCCTAAACGTTAAACCCTAAACCCTAAACCGGCCCTAAACCCCTCCCTCTGCAAGGATGCCCCCGAGCTGGTCTCCCGGCCGCGAGCCTCCTGGACCCGGCCGGTCCGGTTCTCGTCTCTGGGTTTCAGGTTCAGGGGTTTCCGAGATTTGGGGTTTACGGATTCAGGGTGGGGTTAAGGGTTTAGGGTTCGTTTCGGGGATTTGGGGTTGAGGTTGGTTTCGGGGCTTAGGGGTTTGGAGGGTTTAAGGGTTTAGGGCAGTTTAGGGGTTGGGCGGTTTAGGGGTTTAGGGGTTTAGAGGTTTAGGGTTTGGTGGGTTTTTGTGGGCGCGGTGGGTGCGGATGTTACTTCAGGAATAGGTGCGCGCACACGAATCGCGAGCTTGCATCAGCTTGTAAACCAAATCGCATTTAGGGTTCATCCCCCAACTCGATCTGCTTCCCCTCGCTGTTCTGCGCAAAACGACCATTTCGCGGCAGACCACAGCAGGATTGTCGGTCGCCGCGTGTTCGGAAGGATTCTTGGGGACACGTCGATTGCCGGTAGGTTTGGGAGATTCTGGGGCGCTGCAGGGCTAGGTCGCCCAGTCACCCCAAATGGGAGTTTCCGAAAATTAGGGGTACCTTAATTTTGGGATCCTTATCATAAGGATTCTACTATTTAGGATACCATATTTATTGGGGTCCCCTATTTTCGGAAACTCCCAAACCAGACCCCGGGTCTCCAAAAAAGCGCCAAAACCCTAAAGACCACCCTATCAAGCTTCCTTACACCAAAGAGGAGAAGGAGGGACCCTTACTGGGAACCCCTACCCTATAATGTCTGGCCTATATAATGGGTATATAATAGCTATATTCAGGGTATATACCTAGGCGTCCGTATTAAGGGTCCCTCCTTTTACCCTTGACCCTTGGATTACAACATCGCGGCCGAGGTTCCAACTGGGGAGGCCATACGAAATTGCGGGCTGTGCTTTGTTTTATCGTTTTGGGAGTTTGGGTTGACGGGTTTTCGTTTTGATACAGCGTCTACCCAAGGGCTGATGCGGCGCTTGGGACTATGTCGGGATTTGCCTTTTTTGGGGATAGCTGGAGTTGCTCGGGTGTATATGGGTTCAAGGTTGAAGGTGCCATGGTGTAGAGGTCATGGAAGCAAGTGCCAGGTTGCTTTTCACGAGAAGACGTTGGCCGTGACCGTTTGGCTAGGATTGCAAGACACAAAAGCCCTAAACTCCTAAACCCTAAGCCCTAAGCCTTACGCGCTAAACTACAACCCTAAACCGGCTCTAAACCCAAAGCCCTGAACTCCAACACAAACCTTAGGACCCAAAGCCCCGACTCTGGGGTAGGATGCTTCGGAGCATCAGTCTGCCGCAAGATACCCTCGACCATTTCCTCATTACAAAGTTTAGGGTTGGGGGTTCAAGGTTCGGAATAGGCATTGGGGAGAAGAGGAGAAAGAGAGTCAGAGTCAGAGTCAGAGAGAGAGAAAAAAGAGAGAGAGAGAGAGAGAGAGAGAGAGAGAGAGGAGAGAGAGAGGAGAGAGAGGGAGAGAGAGCGTGCGAGAGACACGGAGAGGAGGAGAGAAAAGACGATGTGCGCATCCTTGTTGCCAGCAGTTCCAATACTGCCAAGGAGAAGCCAAACACTATACAGATAGCAGGCTTTCACGTGGAGCCTTAACGAGGTCAATCCTTACTCCACTTTAACTTTGCAGCTTAGCTACAGTCTAATGTTGTTCTCAGTTTGGATCCTTAAGTTGTTGGCCAAGGTGTCCTTTCTAGTGCTTCGACTGGAACTTCTGCCGAAGCTGTTTTCCCAAAGCAGGGACGAAACAGGAGAGACCCCCCTCCTTGCAAGTAGCATTCCATTTTCATCCTTCAAAGTTTATGGTTGTTTGGGGTCCACGGCCCTACACCCGAAACACCAAGCCGCATGCTTGCTCTACACCACCAACAAACCAACATGCATCCAAAAATATCAAAAGACCGTAAATCCTTGAACTCTAAATCCTCAATCGGAAGCCAGAAAGAAACCTTAAGCCACCCTGGGTCCGAAACTCACAGCCCTAAGGCATCCCAAGCCCCCAGCCCCTGCAGGGATAACTAGGGCCGCTAGAAAAAGCTTCGAGCCTTCCGCTGTTAAAACCCTAAACCCTAAGCCCTCAACCCTAAACCCTAAAACCTGAACCCGAAGCCGTCGAAGCCATGGCATTCTCAGAGCGCTTGGAGATCTTCCTGTCGTCGAAGCCCAGGCGATGGGAGAGGCGTTTGGTTCAGAGGCCCGGCTTGCTGCAAAGAAGTGGTCTGGGGTTTAGGGTTAAGGGGTTTAGAGTTTAGGGGTTTAGGGTTTAGGGTTTAGGCATTGACGGTGCAATCCTGTCTTGGCGTTATGAGAAGGTTAGGGGCGTTATGAGAAGGTTAGGTTAGTAGATGTATCGGATTGCTTCCATGGAATACCTCTTCTTGTTCATCATACTTGGGTATGCGTGTGTGGAGTCAGCATATGGGCCTAAGCAAATCGAAGAGGGGTTGGGAGTTGTAGCTACCTGGGATTGGATCGGAGTCTCGCAGTACAGGCTGAAGATCAGCGTTGTAAGTAGGGCGTGAAGGACTCTATCTACCTCTAAGAGGTTTCTTTATGTATGGATTCGCTGCAGCAACTACGGAAGTCAGGGGTCTAAGGGTTTAGTGCCATTAGCCTATGACCTGCAACCGCAAATTCTGAGCGGGGTGAGGAGGGGGAGGGGAGGGGAGGGGAGGGCGCGAAGGGGCAGGGTTGTTGAGGCTTGAGCGGCTCATGCTCGGGGGCATTGTCTGATTTAACAAACCGAACAGCAGCAAAAATGGCGGTGCCAGGGGCAGCAACGGTGACCTTGGGTGTAGTAGCTGTAGCAGTCGTATGAGGCTTTCTGGCGCTCAAAGAAGGCAGCATGGCTGCTTCTGATCATACTTGATCAAGCATACCGTGAAGATCTGCCTATCAAGTGCTAATGTAGACCCACGGTCGAGGCAACTTCCCCCACTCTTCAAGGACTATAGTAGTAGGATCCCCGAAAAGCGCTGAACTCTTGAACTGAACGCCCAACCCTACAGACAGGCAATGAAACGGGTGCTCTTGAATCGGGGGCCTGCTATAAGGAAATACACATGACAGCTAATAAAGCGGCCTTAATAGTTAGAGTAGGGTTTAGGGGGTATACTATATACACTTATAATAAGGACCCCCCCAAAAACCCTATTCTAATTATCAAGGCCCCTACATTAATTAATTTGTTCTTGCCTTCCTTCTCCGTTGCTTCGCGGAGGCCTTGGCTGCTGCCGATCATTGCGCTCCACCTGGCCGCTCGCCGCTTGCAGCGCGCATGGCGACAGTGCCTCCAGAAAAACTGAGGGTTTGGCTTCAAGGATTTGGGTCTAACATAGGGGCCTTCACAATTGCCCATAGTATAATGGGCCCCAAAATCCTGTTCTACTATTTAATGCCCCTATGTTAGGGTCTGGAATTGGAGAAACCGATGGCTGGAGTTGATGCGTCAGGGTGTATTGGTTGAGGAAGTATCTTTGTTTCGAACTTATGAGGTTTCAGATTTTGGAGCAAGTGGCGTAGGGAATCGTCTTTGGTGCTGACACTGCGCTTTTGTACACAGGCCGAGGAAGAACTCTTGTACTCTGCATAAAGCAGCATAATGCTGACTTGTTGTATTTTTTAGAAAATGTTTTCTTGGTAAGTGGGCTTGAGGCCAGTCATGTTGCTCCAGCCTGGGCGTGCTTGAATGGAGAGAGAGAGAGAGAGAGAGAGAGAGAGAGAGAGAGAGAGAGAGAGAGAGAGAAGAGAGAGAGAGAGATAGAGAGAGAGAGAAGAGAGAGAGAAGAGAGAGGGACGGCCTATTGTTTAGGGTTCAGTAAGGAGTCTTGCATTACGAAGGCATTTTCACTTACTCCTTGCCTACTACTAACCAAGCTGGCAACGACTACAGCGCTAACAGTAAGAACGACGAGAACGAGCCAAGAGGAGGAGCCAGAAGGAGGACGAGGATGAGGATGATGACGAGGCAGAGGAGGAGGAGGAAAAGAGGAGCAAGACGAGGAGAAGGAGGACCACCAGGAAGACCACGATCACGGCCACGACCACGACGACGACACGACGGCAAGGGCAACGAGACCCCTTTCCTGAACTGTCCTTACTAGCACTCGGGCTGTAGCTATTCAAAGCTATTCCCATTGTCGGTGTTGCTATTTCTCACTATGCCTCCAAAACCCCGTGATTAAGGACCTTGAATCACATGAATTTTTCCTCGAGACTTTGGGCTTGGGCGTTGGGTCCGAGGGCCGTATTGCGAGTCCTGGGGTCCTGCACTGCCTCGGAAGGGTGGGGCTTGCGTGACTTGCGTCGGCGGGTTGTTCTTTTTCTGGCGGGTACGTTGGGACGTGATCTGAAACTGTACATGTTATTACTACCTTTAGTATTATTAGTATTGTATCATGGTTATTGGTATTACTACTCGTAGTATGTGCCTATTGCATCGAGCATGATAGGCCACATGAACAAGGCGATTGACGATCCAGGCCTGAGAAAAAAGCAGGAGATGATGGTTACAACACGGGCTGCTACAAGGCTGCTAGAAGGTTGCTAGAAGGCGACTTCAAAGGTTAGCATAATGTTTACCAGACCACAATGGATGTTATAGCGGCTCGGTAGGATTACTAAGTCATACTTTGAAAGTCTTTGAGATTACTATAAGCTATAAGACTATAAGATCGGGATAAGACTACCATAAGATTTTTATCGGCCCGAGGAGCTGGTTGCGCTTCGCACGCCCCGCTGCCTCTGTTTATGATGCGGAAGGCACGGTCGCAGAGTAGCGCTCATAGAGCTCCTAAATGAGCTCATGCTATCGGGTTTAATGTTTACGCTGGTTTAGGGTGTAGGGTTTTGGGTTTGATGTTTAGGGTCTGCCTCGACGCCCAATTCGTACTATGAGTTCCGTTGCATCATTGCTGGTGTAACAAGACTGCGAACTAAACCCCTAACCCTAAACCCCTAACCCCGAAACCCTTCAACCCACAATCAGTCAGAACATGCCTGTTGGTCACTCTAAAGCCAAGATCCGATAACAGTTCCGATGGAAAAGCACGTAGATATAGCAGGCCTTCTAGTAGCCCTTTGATAAAGCCGTACGATCGCCATTTAAGTATCTGCCTCATTTTTGTTGCGGGGCTTAAGGCTTCGGGGTGTCGGGGGATTGTGTGTCGACTGAAGCTTGTGGGATCAAGATCTGGGGCACAGTTGAAACTGCAGAGTCGAGACGAGCGTGTGTGTGTGTGTGTGTTGTGTAAACCTGAAAAGTCGCGCCGTGAGTTTCAGTTTGCTTTAGTTTGAGAGACTGTGGTTGGGAGGTAGGCAGCTGCAGATCCTTGAACCCCGAAAGAGAGAGAGAGAGAGAGAGAGAGAGAGAGAGGGATAGGACCCTGACATTTAAGACTTGAGGAACCGTTATCTTGCAAACCCCAAACCTGAAGCCTGTGACCTTGCCTTCAGTAATCTGCTCTTCCTAAAAGCCCTAAGCCGTGCTTGCTCTCAGCACCTGGCTTGCTAGCTAGCGCTTTTTGAAGAATTGTGAGCCAAGGAGCTGACTACCAAATTCCGGGCTCAGGATTTGGGGTCTTTGGGGTTTAGAGGGTTTAAGTTACAGCAGTCCTTCATTTTTTGGAGGGGGAGGGGGGGTGCAGCCTTTAGGGCTTTAGAGCTACTGGTGGTAAAGGGCTTTTAGGCGGTGTTTTGGGGTCCAAGGTTTAGGGGGCGCGCACCCTGAACCGATAATCCATAGGGCTCACACCCCCTTCCATGTCAGGAATTCCGGCACCGCCGAGTGTCGAGGAGATCGGAAACCAAGTCTAGTGCAAGATCGTTTGAGATGAAATTTAGCGCATTAGCCAAAAACAGGTTA